AATAAAATAGAGCCCATCGGTTCTATATAATGAAACAAATTATCAAGCAGTCGCTCGAAACAATTGAAATTTACAATTTCTTGCAACTTTAACTATCGTTACAAAACTATTCGTCTCTTTATATTTAAAATGCACTGGTATACGAGTTTTCTTTGACTTTGAGAGACTGACAGATGTATCATTTGGTACAGTAACATTGTTTCTCTCTGTAGTCGCCGTGCGCTCGGGATCGCGCCAGAGATGTCGCTTCCGAACGGCATCTCTGAGCGTTATCTAGGAAGAGGAGAGTGTCGTGAGCGTGGAGCGTCAGGTAGCTCAGTGGTTTAGAGCAGTCGCCCGGCAAGCGAAAGACCCGGGTTCGAGTCCCGGCCTAGCAGGACCGCGCTCTTGATATTTTTCTCTTTCTGGAACGAAAAAGATACGCAGATCTCGAACGCACAGCGTCCCGCCGCCACCTAGTATGCCCTCCTCCTTCTACGACATGTAGAAACAGACATATTAATTTATATACGTGACGATTGCCCTAGTTTTCGCCCAACAAATACATGCGTTTCTCATTATTATACACTGAGAGAAAAAGTTTTATCAATGTTTAGAAACCGTCATTCGCAACAAATGATTTGTGACTATGAGACAACAAGTGATTCTGTTGTGGGAACATATTTTCACTTGTTGATTTAATAAACATTTTTGTAACGGGGACAAATGATTTTTGACACTAGCAATGTATGTCTGTTAAAATAACAAATGATTTGTAACGCTAACTGTTGCCATGATCTGTTGCCATGACAATCATCAATCTCTGTTAGCACAGTAATCGTACTTTTGCTTTTTTAACAGAGGAATTTCTCTCAGTATATGCGTACTTTATGTGAAAACAGTTATGACCAATTTCAACAGTACGAAGTCGTTTCTTATCGAATGTGAATTGTTATCCTCTTACAATCGTATTGTAAATGCACTTTGTGAAAACCATCGCAGATAAATGAAACAAGCAGCATTTTCCAATGCAAAACGTAGGAAAGAGCAAACCCATTCTTTGCCAGAAATGTGGATAAAATCATATCTTGAAAGTATCAAATATGCTCATGCATTTATGCGAAAGTGTCAAAATCAAGAAAAGATTGTAATATTCTAGGTGCGATATAATGTGGAAAATGTATTAGAAGAACGATTAGAAAAGAACTCTTTTCGGCGCATACCGAATCTGCGCTATTGTTTTCGTGTCTGCGGAGGGTGTGTCTATTACGCGTTAGTAGTCGCGTCTTCGCCGCTCTTCTTTTATCTTCTAAATACCGCGACTCTTCTGAATACGTCGCGACTCGCGAGCTGCGCAGCTATTGTTTTTTCATTGTCAGTAAGCCGCTGATTTCTTGCTTGTGCATGTACGCAGTGACAGTTATCCTTTGGATATATTTATTTATTGTGTCGTAGGAGCTTCGTAACATTTTGTAAGTTAATATTACATGTATAATTTAGTTATATTTTGTAGTTGTAAAATTATTGTAAGGTGTAGTAGGTTCTATTATTGAGGCGTTTTTTTTTCATACAAGTGTGCATTCTTGTAAACGTATTTACAGTTGCACTTAATTTCTTTTTAGTATTTATTATCTTTTTTCGTCGCATTATTTCTTTTGCATTTTTTCGTTCTGCAGCATGGATAAATATGCAAAACGCTTTAAATTTTCTCGTGGTTGGCTGGAAAACGAGAATTATAAATCTTGGATAAGGGAAGTTCCCAATGATACTAGTAAATATTTTTGTTGTATGTGCAATAAAACGTTTTCTTGCAAAACACGAGTACAGCGGCATGCCGAATCAGAGATTCATCGAAATAATATATTGCAAGGTTGTTCTGAAGAGACACAAGCAACTGTAAAGGAATCTCGCAGGAGGAAATTTTGCCATTCATGGCTTGAACATGAACAATTCAAACCGTGGCTGGAGAAAATTCCGAATGATCCGTACAATTGTTTTTGCTCTTTCTGCAATATAACGTTTTGGTGTGGTCTCGACGCACTGAGGCGACATTCTGACACGAAGAAAAATATGTCAGAGTATCAGAAAAGAGGTCTCATGGTAGATTTGAATACTCTAGAGGAAACATCGCCTCTGTCTTTTAACCTTTAGAGGTCCGGAAAACCAATATTTTGGCGCACCAGAATAACTTGTTCAATTTTTTTTGTATTAAATATTCATTTTCTTAATATTATTAGCAATTTTTAATATTATTTAATGTAAATTTGCCCCCCCCCCTCCCACTCATCCCGTACCCCTAATTTTCATGTGACACATTCTAAAATAAATACATGGCTTAATTCGCGTGCGGCTGCAATTATAAACAAATTTATTTTCATTTGGGGTTTTTGAAGTTGCTATTTATTAGTAAAACAATTTGGCAAAATTGTAAATAGCAGATCAAAAATATATTCATTGATTAGGCCTGCCCGTTTATCGTCGTCCGTCCTTGCCATACGTGAGAACGGCGCGTAAGAGCACCTGTCGCCTCGCGTTCTCTGTTAGGTCAGGCTCGAGATACACTTATTTTTTCACTTGTGTTGATACAACATTTTCCGTTACTTTCTATCTTCCTCGTACTTTATTACTTTTGCTATACAATGAATACAGGTGATGACGAAGCTTGGAGTAGTGGAGAGTCAGAGCCTGAAGAAGATGTTATTACAGACAGAACTATTGCATGTGATGTCGATTTACTTGATAACGAACGTGATGAGAATATACCAGATGTACACTATGATCCTTATTTTTACCCATCTATAAAAACTTTTACTGGTGAAGCACATATTCGTGATCACGTGTCTCTAGACGAACCTACTCCATTAGAATGTTTGAAATATTTTTTTGATACATTTCTTGTAAATTTGATTGTAGAACAAACCAATCTTTTTCAAGAACAAAATCCCGAACCGGATCGAATACATATGAAGCCGTGGACTCCTATCACTGAAGACGAATTATGGATAATCATTGCTTTATCAATAAACATGGGTCATGTTGTAAAAGGGCAACTAAAGGATTATTGGAGCCGAGATCCACTGCTATACACTCCAATATACGGCGAAAGTCTATCTCGAAATAGATATCTTCAAATTTTACGATACCTTCACTTTTCTAATAATGAAGAAGTTTCCAATCATCCTTTGAAAAAATCAAACCAGTGATAGATCATTTGAAAGAAAAGTTTAGTAATACTATTATTGCTGGTGAAAAGCTTTGCATTGACGAAAGTTTAGTCTTATGGAAAGGGAAGCTAAAATTCAAACAATTCTTACCATTGAAGAGACATCGATTTGGTATCAAGATATTTGAATTAGCGAAACAGGATTTCTCTTAGATTTTATAGTATATACTGGCTCAGACACTGATTATGAGAAATTTGATTTAGGCGTTTCTGGTGACATTGTTGCACATTTCATGCAACCTTATTGTAACGAAGAGCGTGTGTTATACACTGATAATTGGTATACATCTCCACAACTGTCAGACTACTTATATGACAGAAATACTGGTTTTTGTGGAACTATAAAAAAAAAATCGTAAAGGAATGCCAACTCTTAGTTCAAAGCTAAATCGTGGTGAAACAGAAGTTGCCCACACCGATTCTTGGATGGTAATCAAATGGATGGATAAAAAGGAAGTTTATGTATTGACAAGTATTCACGAACACCAGTTTTGTAAAACTGATAGGAGAAACTACAAAACCAATGAAGATATTATAAAACCCGTTTGTATCATGGATTATAACAAAAATATGGGCAAAATCGATGATATCGACAGACAATTATCTTTGACAGAATCTATTAGAAAATGTATGAAATGGTATAGAAAATTGTTTTTTCATTTGATTGATTTGATATTGATAAATGCCCACAGTTTATTCAAGATGCTCACTAAAAATGCGATTTCGTTTCCTGATTTTCGATTGAGCGTCGTAAGATATTTTGAAAGTAAATTCTCAAGAAATTTCATCACTTATTTCGTCTAATCTTAGACTAAATAGACGACATTTCCCCAGAAAAATTCAAGT